GGAATAAATTCAGCAAAATGGGCAATTTCAGAATAGAGAAATATGTGCTGTGATTAATATTTATCAGAAGGTACAGAAGGAAGTGTGCTCTTTACTAAATTAGAGAAGGCTTCATCACTTTATCGATTTTTACTGTTGCTTGCTAAACTATCTACAATCTTTTAATTGATTAACCACACTGACCTAGAAAACCTGTAAAACTAGGTGTGCACTCACACACATACACATACACACACATACTGTACCCACACAAACATGGATGTGGATATACACACAGAAGTTCAATAGTAAAGTTCATTCATAGTGACAACAAAGGCTTTCATCCTTAGATAATTAGTTCATGTTTACTCATGGTCATGGTTTCTCCCTCATAAGTGGTAATTGTGGTATTTCTATAGCTTTGTTACTCTGACTTTTAGAGTATTGCACCATTTTTTTAAATTCCTCAGAAGGTTTTGATATTTTAAGGTTGACCTACTGTGATTTGGTTACCATTTGCCATTTAATTTAGAGTGATTAAACTCAGATTTGAAAATAAAAACTTTAAAAGATTTTTGTTATAGCCATCTACAGTTTTGAAGGTAACATTGGGTAGCATTTTGATGGACTATTTTGGTCTATCGATCAACTGGCTATAATGAATCCTGTAGAAATAGACCCAGAGGAGATTCATCGTCAGGCCTCCTACTTAAGTCATTCTCGGTAAGTCTGCCTTTCTTTTGGGGTAGGGGACAGTTTTTTGAGGCAGGGTTTCTCTGTGGCTTTGGAGGCTGTCCTGGAACTAGCTCTTATAGACCAGGCTGGTCTCAAACCACAGAGATCTGCCTGCCTCTGCTTCTCTCGTGCTGGGATTAAAGGTGTGTGCCACCACCGCCCAGCTAAGTTTGCCTTTCTTTAACTTAACTATAGTAACAGATTGTTACGTAAAGAGAAATAAGAACTTCTGATCATCTATATATGTAAATATGTCAAGAAAGAAGAAGAAAATTAACGTGGATTTTTTTTTTTCCTGAGTGACTTTAAAGAATTTTGTCTAGAAAGATACCTTGACTTAAAATTCCAATCTATATAGTAATCCTTTTCTTGTACCCCCCACACACACCCCTAGATAATTCTGTCTCCTAACACTTGGCTAGATGGAAAAGCACTTTAACATTTTACGTTTCTCTATAATTGTGGCTTCTGATGTATTTGTTTGGTATCTCTGGATAACAAGATTCTGTTCAGTTCCTGCCTATCTGGGGAAGTCAGCTGATGAAATAGGATTTATTGGCAACAGAGAGCTTTATAGGCATCATTGAGTTGTTTTTTAAAAGAATAATTATTTCCTACCGTGTCTGGGCATGGTGTGTGGGGGGGTGTCGGAGGGCAGCTTCTGGGAGCTGGGCTCCTAGTCCACCTTGGAGTCCAGAGCTAGCTTTGGGTAGTGAGGGTTGCCCTGACAAGGGCTGTTACCCACCGAGCCATCTTGTGGGCCTGGACATTCTATTTCCTTTGACTCTTTATGTCCCCGCATAGTTCCCACTTCTCTCGTATAGTTTTCAAACACTAGTTTGTTTGTGCTGTTTAGTGATGCTCAATGTGGCAACATGCTGGTGACAGCTTTGTTAGTGGACCAGAGCTAGGTTTTTAATTAACGGATTGCTAGTTTAATTATTATAGTTTAAAGAACCTTTGTTTTACTTTTTTGGTTTTTCGAGTCAGGGTTTCTCTGTGGCTTTGGAGGCTGACCTGGAACTAGCTCTTGTAGACCAGGGTGGTCTCGAACTCACAGAGATCCACCTGCCTCTGCCTCCCGAGTGCTGGGATTAGAGGCTTGCGCCACCAACACCCGGCTGAACCTTTGTTTTATAGCCTGACTTTTTTCTTTGTTTTTTTTTTTTTCTCCTTTTATTACAGATAGATTTTTTTTCTTGCATAATATATCCTGATTATGTTTTTCCCTCACTCTACTCCTCCCAGTTCCTCCTCACTTGGCCTCTCCTTTGGAGCCCATTCCCTTTCCATTCTCATTAGAACACAGGTCTCTAAGGGATAATAAAATCCATAGTAAGGTGAAGCAAAACCTAACACATAGGGGTTGGACAAAACAGACAGAAGGGAAAGAGCACAAGAAAATGCACAGTAACCAAAGACCCACTCATTCACATGCTCAGGAATCCCATTGAAAACAGCTAACCTGAAAGCAATCGAGTAAGCTCAGATCTGTGCAGACCTGGGCAGGCCCTGTGTGTGCTGCTTCGGTCTCTGTGGGTTCCTATGAGCCTTGCTCTTGTTGACTTAGAGTGCCTTCCTTGTTTTCTTGGTGTCCTCCATCCCCTCTGGTTCTTAGACTCTTTATGCCTCCTCTTCTGCAGGCTTCCCTGGCCCTAAGGGGAGGGGTTTGATGGAGAAATCCCATTTAGGGCTGAGTGTTCCAAGGTCATTCAATCTCTACGTAATGTCTGGCTGTGGATCTCTGTATTTGTTCCTATCTACGTCAGGAGGAAGTTTCTCTGATGATGGCTCAGCAAGGCTTATAGTCTGATTTGTTTAATATTAGAAAAAGAATTAAATGCATGGCTTGTCCAGTGTTTAATATTCTGTCATAAGGTAGCCGTATTGTTACTCAAAGGAACTGGATCTTTTCCATTTTGACTTTAGAGTCCATTCATAGAAATGTACATGTTAAGATGTTCTTCCAAATATTTCTACTCCCTTTCTCTCTGCTTGCTATTCTAATGACCATTTACTCTTAATGATTTCCCAACTGAATTCTTATACAAAGGGAATGGGCTGAAGACAAAGCATACAGGATTTTAAGTTTCAATTCTGTAGAGAAGATTTTTAAAAAAAATCAAATGAATTCATGAATAACTTTTTCCCCCTAAAAACTGTATACTTTATATACTTTATTTTTTGCCTTATCTCTTCAATATATTGAATTATAGATAACTGTGATGCCATCAGAAAAAAGATACTTCCTGAGCTCTACAATGCACTGTATATTATTCCTGCCCTGAAGAACTATTGGTCAATTACCACAGTTAACTACATATTTTACAAAAATAAGGGGTGTGTTATCTGGCTAAATTTAGAAAGAATTTGGGTGTATTTCAGTAGATAGGTCTGTTATATAAGGGAAAAGTGGGAATGTATCCTAATGTTAGCTTCCTGATGTAATTCACTGAATGTTTATAAGGCTTCTCCCAAAGAAAGTTAAAACACTCAGCTGAGTATATTGATTCATTGTTAGAAAAGGCAGTGGCCTCTGATAGCGCTTAACTAACCAGAGCCATCTCAGGCTGTCCTTTGTTATGCTGTAGCACACACAGGAATATTAGAATAAATGAGCACATCAGCAGTCAGAGCACTGGCTACCTGTGTGCTTCGTTGGAGTGCCATAGTGTGCTTGCTAGTCAGGGTCCTCTGCCCTATCTGTCACCTTAGGGTTTTCCATTCCAGCAATTAACTGATTCCAACAATCAGCTGAATATTCAGGCTCAAGCTCTTCTCATGAGATATCTGGAGGTTTTAGAATGGGATGAAGCTAGATTGGAACTTACTATAAACTAAAATTAATGCATGTACAGCCATTTTGATATGGTTCTGATATAGCTGTATAGTGCTGGTAACCGAGTTGCTAGACTCAAAATGCCTATTGTCCAAGCCAGGACTTGTGGTGACCATCAGAGTTTATTTCCTCAGAATTCCCTTCCTTGAAAATTTCATTTAACTTAATTTCTGAAATGCAGACACCCTCATACTAGCTTCCCCTTTTTCTTTGCTTTAATGCAGGAACAGATATGCACATGAGGAAAATAATTTGGAATTGTTTTTTTTAATTTATTTACCAATTTTTTGGATGGATTGTAATAATTCTTTCCTAGAACAAAATAAAGAAGTGGTCTTACAAGGCTAATTGCCACATCCTTGGCAAGTGATGCCTTGTGCTTTGGACCCAACATTTTTTATTAAATTTTATAACAGAGAAACTTGTGTTGCAATTCTATATTGTGTTAGAACAAAAAAAGCATTTATTTGAGCAGAACTTTATAGTGTTACTATATTTCAGAATTAATATTTTTACTTGTCTATTCAGAATGGTAATTGTTAATTTCGTTTCAGAATAAAATCATTTATCCTAAAGTAACTACTATAATGAAATTGCTATAATTGAAAAAAGAGAATTTGGACGATTGTCAGTTTTCTATCAAATGAAATAATTTATTTCTATCAAATGAAATAATTTATATAAATAAAACACTTTATTTAAATTATGTTGTTGGTAGTAACTTGATATATCAACATAAGCCTTTTAAAACAAAGTTTTATTCCATTTAAACTTCAGGTGAGAGGAAAGTGAGCCTAATAGCTAATGGTGAATTTCAGAGTACTGCCATTAACTAATTGGTGTCAGTTTTTCCTTGAAAATGAGTTTTAACATTTGTCAGTTTTCAATGAAGAGAAATTATTTCTTTGAAAGATTATTATTTTCAATGTTCAATAAGCTGAAGTAATGGCCTGGTTATATTTCTCCTTTATCTCTGTATAGAACAGATAAAGATGTGGAAGACAAAAGACAAAAAGCCATTGAAGAGGTAACTGAACACTGTTCTGATCATTAAGCCAGCCAACAATGAAATGTGCATGTGTGCCCTCTCCCTTAGGAAGACTTTTGAAGTCCTTCACGGGGCAGCTCCCCTCCCGTACTCAGTACTCACTTCTGATGCTCAGTGCCCCTCCCCCACCTGTTACACACCATTCTGAGCTCGTCACAAGACCCTGAGTTTTCACCCATCTCAGTGTCTCTCTTAGTGCCTGCCCCTTTGCTCTCATGGTTACTGGCTTGGTGCTTCTCTGCATAGACTGATGTGGTTTTGGCCAGGTCTGTTCTCTGCTCGTCATGTCATTCTCTGCCATGATGAGAGCAGTTTGTCTTCCTTGTGCTTTCAGAGTACTGAGTAGCACAAACTCCTGATTCAAGTTGGAGTTTCTGTAAAGGAAGCTGAGTGATTTTAGTCCCGTGCATTCACAATGACTTTGGCTTTTGTTGTCAGTGCTTTAGATTTTGTTGTCAATACTTAAGTTGTCAATTTTTAAGATTTAGAATATATTTCATAAAATGGCTTATTGCCAAGTCCAATGGTAAGGTTTTTTGTTCTTTTTGCTTGTTTTTAGTTAAAACAATGAAGCCATGTTTTTGACTTTCTGATTTTTTTTTTTTTTTTCTCAATAAATCCTCCTCCTAGAGTATAAGGATCACCTAGTTCTTGCTTCCGGAAAGGCTTTGTGTCACAGGGACATGTTTTGAACTGTCCTTTCTTCCCTCTAGTCTCCACTACACATTTCTATCCCTTAGCTATCCTTGGCTCTTCTGTGCCACAAAGGATATGCATTAATGGCCTGTCTGGAGTCAGGTGACTGGCCCCTCCTTGATTTTGCAGACATAGGTGCTGTCTGTCGATCGTACTTACTTGAGATTTCAGCTTTGTCTTAGAAAGCAATGTGATGTTGAACCCTGACAACCTTTGTCTCCCTCTTTCTCTGTGGCTTTAATTCACACTTTGTTACACTGACACTTAATTCTTCCCCAGTGAGCAGCTGGGATCCTCTCTAACCTTCCAACCTTTTGGAAAATATCCTCTCTTTTTTCCAATCCTGGAAACTGTTTCAGGGAAAGCTCAGCAGGTAAAACATAGGGACTAAAATCAGAGTGAAGGTCAGGGTTAGTATTATGTGGGAAGTGTATTTTATATATGCATGTCAAACGTAAAGAGAAAACAAAAGCTGTCATTCTCAACCAGTCTCTGAAAGGAACTGCTGCAACCTTTCCTGTGTGGTTGGATTAATGTTGTGTGCACAGAACATCCTTTAAATCTGTTAGACACAGGTTCATCTCATTTGCTTTTACACCTTGTTTTTGTTTATTTTCTCTTGATCTTTCTTAGCTTTTTAAAAGTAATCTGTAGAGTTTTGTATTTTAGTAAGAATGCATGAACAAGTCTTTTTGCTAGATTTTAAGTTCTTTTCATTGTCTTTACATCACAGTGTTGTAGTCTGTTCATGTGTTTTATGTACTTGTAGTGGACTTATAAGCTGGAGGCTTTGGATTTCAGTCCAAGTGGGTTTTACCATATATATTGCCTTCCTGATGCTTTTTCCTCTCTACAGCACTGATTATTCCCAAACTTTCAAATGTCTGTGCTCTACTTGTTACTTTAAATGCCATCTTAATGTTGAGTGCTACTGTTTAAATGAGTGTGATACTTCAGAAGTTTATGGGTCCTCTAAGATTCTTCTGCAGCTTTCCTATAGTATTATATCTTTCCCATCCCTTTTCATTTTTTGTATTTTCCTTATAAACTCTTCACTGCTTTAGTTAAGGAAATTAACTTTATCCTATCTGAGGCACAGTAAAAAGAAAATGTTTTACTTTGAAAATAAAGGGAAGGGAGAAATGCTGCATTAGGATCAAAAGACATAGCTATAGATAAACAGGCAGACAGAAGACTGGATAGACAGACAGATGATTGATAGATATAGATATAGATAGACAGAAGACGGATAGACAGACATGATAGATATAGATGGATATAGATAGACAGAAGATGGATAGACAGACATGATAGATATAGATGGATATAGATAGATAGACAGAAGATGGATAGATAGACAGACAGATGGATAGATAGTAGATAGACAGAAGATGAATAGTTGGACAGACAGATGATAGATAGATATAGAGAGATAGATATAGATAGATAGAAGATGGATAGATAGACAGATGAATAGATAGCAGACAGACAGACAGACATAGTTGTCTTTTGTTCATTTGAGTAGAATGGATAGTGGCATGGAGGCGCATGTGTAACAACAGGCTGTTTGTAGACCTCGGTATGGTTTCTGTGATTGCTGCTACCCATAATATAAACACTCTAATTATACCCAACTTCTGGCTACTAGCACACTGTCTCTGAATGGGAATAGTGTAGTTGCACACCCCAGTGAGACAGATGCCACCACATATATGCACAAAGTGTATAGATACCAACAAATATAAAATAATTTATAAGTAACATTTTTGAAAGATTCAGTATAATTTATTTAATTGTAAATTTATATAATTTTATATTTAGTGTTGGTTTTAACAAAGGTTATCCAAATTCTTGAATATTTGGTAATCACGTCTTGACATCACACCATTTTCTTCTATGTCTACCTTTAGCTCCTTTTATTCCTTTCCTCCTAATCTTACATTTGTCACCAACCCCAAAACAAACTGGCAGAGAAATGAAAAGTTATTTACTTATGAATAATACCTTTAGCTTAATTTATAAGTTTCAAATTTAAATGGTTGATTTAAAGTATTAAGACTTCTCTGTATGTGTACTTTATATTTTTCCCCTTTAACTTTAGTCAGTTACTTTGACAATGAACATTTCAAAATAAATGTAAGTTAGTATATGTGACCCACTTCATAGCTGTTTGAAAATAACTAAGGTACTCTTCCATTTGTGGGCTGTCAATGCCTAATTGCACCATTCGCATTTTCCTAGTTTTTCACTAAAGATGTCATCGTACCCTCTCCCTGGACTGAGCATGAGGGGAAGCAGCCTTTAGAGCTTCATCCCAGCCAGTGTGAGTACTCACCGTGCAAAAGCCAGGGTGTAAGTAAACGTGAGTATTCAGCAGCAAAGCCGTGGCTGCAGACCACCGTAGAGAGAGAAGTGTCCGTGTACTGGTTATGGTGAGAAGCCTGCTTAAAATTCAGTTTCCACATAAGATTAACTCCTTGTTGAGTAAAGAGCAAACCTTAAGTGAAATATGATTGGGTTTTCTTTTGTTGTTTTTTGCTATTATTCTCTTCAGAAAACATTCTTTTCTTCATGACCATTGTGAGTACTAATTCTAAGGATGCCGGTAGAGGCTTCATAAGGGAGATAGTTGTTTCTAAATATAGGGTCGAATTCTGAGTGCCATTGTCAAGTCAGTTTTGAAGGTATATTAAATAAATTCCTGAAGTCTCTTGGGTTTTTGATAACTTGCCTCTTCCTTGCAAAGATGGAGGAATGGTGATGATTAACTGACTTTTGGGCAGCACATTACAGCTGCTAATCTGGAAATGTACAGAGAAATGAAAAGACAAGCCATAATCCTTCTAAGTTCCTTTTCCCACTGGGCAGTGGTTGGCTTATATTTGCTCTCACCATCCTCTGTGTTTTGAGCAGTGTCTGTGTAGTGTAGGTGTGCTCTTAGTGTAAGAAAAACATTCCTTATGAAACCACAGGGATGGTAGATACTCAGGGATGAGCACTGTCTGCAAGGACTCAGTGCTTTCAGTAATTCCCTATGGCTTGGAGGTGGGGGCAATTGTTAGTCTCTGCTACAAGTGAGAAAACACAATTATCGTCAGCCATTACAAAGCCATGGAGACCTGGGTTGTAAATGCTAACCAGAGAAGTAGTCTTGGTTATTTAGTTGGTTTTGATTCTGGTTATCTGTTGGGAAAATGAAAGGGTTAAGCTAGAGAATTATCCTCACAACTTTGAAATTCTGTGTTCATGCTGACATTTTTAAAACTACTAGTCTCTCCCCTACCCCCCACTTCTTAATATTAGGTTTTTACAGATGAATAAACCTCTGTTTAATTTTATTTTTTAATATAATTCTATTATGAGAAACCTTGTTTGCTAAAGTGAGGCAGTATCAGGAAAATGAAGAAAACCATAGTCTTTATAAAGATGACCCAGATCATTGTAGCATAATGCAGCAGTTAACAGCTGTGCTGTGTAAAGTGATGCTGTGAGACAAGCTCTTAGGACTGTCACAGTCCTGCACGTATACAAGAAGCTATATAAAAGGATTCCCTTCCAAAGTATCTTTTTTAAAAGTTGTATTCATACATATGCCTGTGCATAGGGGTGTATGTGTATGTTTGCACATTTGTATCTTCAAAGATCTTTTCATGACAGTCACCCTTGGAAAACAGAGATAGCATGTCCTTCCAAAGAGTAGATTCATTTCATGTCCATAATAATGAAGAGGAAGTTCTCCTGTATAGCAGATGTGCTTATAACTCATTATAGAACAGAACTTATTTCCTTCCTTTCATCCTTCTTTCCTTCCTCCTCCTTCTCTCCTTTTTCTTCTTTATTTATTTTATTATTATTATTTTTTTTGAATGAGGTCTTTCTTGTGTCCATTTGAATGCTGGGGTTACTGTTGATAGGCCAGCATATCTAGGGAATGCCATGCTGGGTACTAAACCCAGCTGTACACGCTAGGTACACACAACGGATGCCATGCTGAGGACCAACCCAGAGTCCTACATACTAGGTAAACATAAATGTTATTTTTGGATCACTTTTAGAGCTTTCAGTCTTAGTTGGTAGGAGTACATGATGCAGGGAACCTGTTCTAATCATGAGCATGTATGGAAGAGAGGAAAGAGGGGATTATTGTCCCAATTAACCCTTTAAGGGGTATACCTAATGGCTGATAAGTCCTTCAGTGCAGCCCCATACCTTAAAATGTATGCATTTCTAAGCAGCACTAAGCTGAGGATAGAGCCTTTAACATGGGCCACTGGGAGACATTCTAGATCCAAATGATAGCCTCCATTGTCTGTCAAGCAGGCATTGTGTGTGACAGGGCTGTTCTGTGTCACCTCCTTCAGGTATGGGGGTCTGGATGAATGGGACGACACTGTGTCAGAATGCTTGGCTCTTAGGCAATGGTCTCCCAGTTATTTTGGAAGAGTTTGGAAGTTTTAGGTCACAGGAGCAAGTATTTGGGCGAACTTTGTCCCGCCCCTCCTTTTTCTACTCCTGTCCTGCTGTGGTGCAATGTGCACTAGCATAAACATTTCCTTTTGTGAGTTGCTTCACTCCATTGTCTGATCACAGAGTGAGAACAGCACTAAAACAGATGACAATGGTGCTAGAAAGATGAACAGAAACTCTGAGGGTTTTGTAAGCCATTAAAGTATTTGGACTTCATTCTAAGCCAGTTGTGGGTTCTATACCAGAAGAGAGCATTACAATCCAAAATTGCATCTACTTTACCCATTCTGACAGTATTTAACAAGAGACCTTCTTTGGCCCACCCTTCTATGCCTGATCTCATTTAATATGGGTTAACTCAATAATTCTACACTCAATCTGGTGATTGTTAAGTTATAAAACAGAAGATTTAAAAACATGAACATTCTTTTCACACAGGGTCACTTTTTGTAGTCCTGGCTGTCCTGGAACTCTCTCTGTAGACCTCTTGATCCTTGAACTCACAGAGATCCTCTTGCCTCTGCCTCCAAAGTTCTAGGATGAAAGGTGTTCACTAACATGTCCTACAACAGGTATTGTTGACTCTTGATAAAAACTGAGCATAGTTTTATTTATCACATTCCAGATTTTATTTGGTCAAAATAATCTAATATTTTAATTGAATTTATCTAAATCTATTAGGAAAATTACATGACAGAATATGTTTGAGATATAGTAGCTTTATTTGCTCTCTCAACAATGTTTATACATGTAACATCACTTTGTATACCAAAACCACATGCAATCGTTCGTCATCAAAAACTAGTAATTACAAGATACCTTATTATTTGTTATGATAATCTTTTAGTTTTATTCTTATTTTGCCTCATTAAATAATCCAACAGAAACATAGCAAAATTTTAAATGCAGATATTTATCCTTAAAATATAAAAGCCTCTGGTGTGAAGAGTTTTACTCTGAACAATGTAATACTAAATTAAATAATACAAAATTACAATTTTCTATTTAAAATTTTTACAGGCCTTAATAGCAACAGTGACTCTCCAAAACTGATGCTTCCCTCTGAGAAATGCAATGGTGGGTGTGAACAGGGTCTGGAAAAGACTTGTTGCATAGTAAGCTACTTTGATTCAAGCATAGTTCATATATTATCGCTTTACTTTCAAATTAGACATTGTTTGCTTTGTGAATGAGCTGTATGCCAGGAGAACTGACTTTGAAAAACTGATGCTTTAGAAATAGCAACCATGTGTTGCTTTCCTATTTGAAGTGTGTGATTTGTGAATTGATTTCTAGTTTGGGAAAAGTTTAAAGAAAACACAAATGATTTGCTGATCTGGGAAATCCCCTAGTGTCTGCTGGTATCCTGTTCACTTGCAAGTACCAATCTCAGAGGCAGGAGCTAACTTCTCCCGTTAGCAGGTTTTGATTAGGAAGGCGGCATGGTATGCACATGACAGTGCAGCCTCAGAATGACTGTTTCCTGGAGCATGCTGGGAGGTGGTGGTTGGCTGGCACAGGCTGACTGAATGTCACATGCCTTCACTGATGTGTGCATACATATGTCTGTTTGCTTATTTGCAGCTGCTTGTCAGACTCTGCTGTCTCTTCCTGTGGATTTTAATTTGGAAGCCATATTGGGTAAATACTGTGACCCTGTCTTTAATAACACAAATCAAAGCTCTTGGGTTTTTTGGCTGTTTGTAAATGGCAGTGCAGCAGTACCTTTCTTTAAACAGGAAACTGTCCTACATTTTTCTGTTTCTTGAACATGGCCTGAGTTAGTGATTTTATCATAGTGAATGTTATTATGGGCATGAAAGATGTACTACTAATGACCAGTCAGATTTGGTGGCAGTCAGGGCCTGAGACAGAAGGACTGCCAAAAGTTCAAGTCCAGCCTGGGTCCATAGTAAGACACTGACTTATAACACCAGTAACAACAAATAAACTTGCCAAAAATATAGAATAATATTTTAAACATCACACATACATGTATTGAAAAAATTCAAACCTGATTGATGACATTTTAAATAATTGGGTGACACAAGTGTAGTTGCTTCTTACAGTGATCAGTTTTCTGTGTTACTGTTAAATGCAGGAGACTATTTTAGAGCTGATGACTCCACGGACCAATCTCCTGGGAACCTCAGTTCCTCATCTCTAAGAAGGAAGCTGTTTTTGGATGTGAATGGGAGCATCTCAGACTCCTTGCCTTCAGCTTCTCCTGGAAGTCCTCCGAGTAGTGCTGGAGAATCTCTTGAGGTGTTTTATCCAATAGATTTGTCTCTGTATAGCCTAGGAACCCTGTCTAGACAGCATGCACCTTAAGAAGTATGCTAGCAAGTGGCTGGTTAGTGTGTTGTAGATAGGCTTGGGTGTAGATACTCAAACCACACCCAGGAATATCACCTTTGGGTGATGGCAGATATGATTTCAGTCAGGCTTTTGTGTTTGAGGTAGACAGGATGAACAAATTGATCATCATCTCAAGGAATTGCAGCAGGGCTACTTACTGAATTATATGAAGTGAGCAGTGTGAGAACTGAGTTCGCATTGACGGGGTAACGGAAGTAGTTCATCGTGTTTTCACAGACAGCTGCTTGGTATGGAATAGAATGAGTGAGTGGTTTAAACCCAATTCATTATACTTTGACATTTTATTTCAAGATTTTTCTATCAGTCTTTGTTGCTCTTGTTCTAAGATATCTTTCATTGGTTGGTTCTTGTGAATTCCTAGTTTGTAAGTATGTTGTGAAGAGGACAAAGAAGATGCAATATAACTCTGACAAAGAGAAATTAAATATATTTGCTGATTACTGACATTTTTATTTTCTAATTTATGGTTATTATTTTTATCACAGGGACAGTTTTCTTCTAGCCCCATTCAAAGTAATGCAAGAAAATACAGTTTGGGGAGTATAACTAGCCCACCCGCTATTTCTTTACCCACTTTCTCACCAATTGCACTTCAAGTAGGAAAGACACCACTCTCAGGTATGTCTCAGAATAATATCCACATTGATTGTTTAAAAAGGCTCTTAGCAGTTAGGAATGTTTACTTTGGTATTAATTTGTAGAAACTTTTTTCAACATAAGGAACAGTGTAAGTCAAATGTGTAACTTATGCTATGAATTCCAATATTTGGGAGGTAGAGGCAGAAGGATCATAAATTCAGGGTCACCCTGGGAATACGTAGACTCATAGCTAGCCTGAGCTAACTAGTAAGGCTGTGGTAGTTTGCATGGAACAGTCCCCACAGGCTCATATATTTGACTGCTTAGTCACCAGGAAGTGGAATTCTTTGAAAGAATTAGAACAACTAGGAGTTGTGGTCTTGATGGAAGTTTGAAAAACCTCCCTTTTTTTCCTGGGCCTGGCAATCAGGATGTAACTTTGTTGCTCCAGCATCAAGCATACCACCATGATAACAGTGACCTTCTAAAACTCTAAGCAAGCCCCAACTGTTTTCTACAAGAGTTGTAGTGGTCATGGTGTTTCTTCACAGCAATAAAACAAAGACCCCATCTCAAAACAAAACAAAAACAAAAAAGGTGGCCAAGGAAGAGGGAATTTGCCGTGATGTGAGATTGTGTCTCCTAGAAATGTTAGAAGCTATGTCTATGAAAGGTCACCATCATGGCTGCCTAAACATGACCCAAACAAGGACACCACCAGTAGACATGCTAATATGGTGATATAGATATATATGTATATGTATGTATATATGTATGTAACAGACCTACTGAGCAGGTTGTTCTTATGTATCTAGGAGCACCCATGAATGTAACACAAAGAAATAGTAGCCATGAATTTGAATGAAGTAGTGGAGGGGGCCACAGGAATGTTTGCAAGAACGAATGGGAAGGGAGAAATTATATAATTATAATACCCCAAAAATTTAACAACACAAAAGAAAACATATAAAATATAATAGAATGTCAGCTTACACACACACACACACACACACACACACACACATACAGAATCACTATTGATTTCATAAACTGTGTCCTTATCAAATAAAAATGCCATATTTGGGGAAAACAAAGAATACATAGAATACACATCTATGCTATGTAATGCTGACATTCAGTTCCTTGCACTATGAAAAAGGTTGGAAAGATAATTTACTCTCAAAGTCTAAATTTCTCAGAAAACTTTGCTAATCTAGTTATTTTCATAAGCAGTATTTGCTTCACTCTACCAACAAAAATACCAGTTTTAGAGATAAATCGATTTTTCCGTGCCTTTTTACTCACAGTTTTGACAACCAGGTATTCAAATCCTGTAAAGTACACTTGATTAAAGTTTTTAAATAGTAAGTATGTTCAGAAATGTATTTACTTTTTTTTTTTTTTTTTTTTTTTTTTTTAAACGCTGGGCCCCAAATTTTTTTTTTTTTTTATTAGTTCAAATTAGAAACAAGCTTGCTTCACATGTCAATCCTTTGTCACTCTCTTCCCCTCCCCCAGCCCCCCACCATTCCCCTAGCTAATCCCTCCTCTGCTCCCCAGGGAGGGTAAGGCCCTCCATGGGGGTTCCCCAAAGTCTGTCATATCATCCTGGGCTGGGCCTAGGCCCTCCCCCATGTGTCCAGGCTGAGAGAGCATCCCTTCATGTGGGATGGGCTCCCAAAGTCCCTTCTTACACCAGGGAAAAAAAATACTGATTCACTAGCAGGGGCCCATAGAGTGCCGAGGCCTCCTAACTGACACCCATGTTCAGGGGTCTGGATCAGTCCCTTGATGGCCTCCCAGACATCAGTCTGGGATCTATGTGCTCACCCTTGTTCAGGTCAGCTGTTTTTGTGGGTTTCACCAACCTGGTCTTGGCCCCATTGCTCTTCACTCCTCCCTCTCTGTAACTAGGCTCCAAAGTTCAGTTCAGTGTATAGCTGTGGGTGTCTGCCTCTGCTTCCATCAGCCACTGGATGAGGGCTCTAGGATGGCATATAAGGCAGTCATCAGTCTCATTATAGGGGGAGGGCATTTAGGGTATCCTCTCCACCATTGCCTAGATTGTCAATTGGTAGATCTCTGGAAATCTCCCTAGTGCCATATCTCTCCTCAGATATGGTATCTCCCTCTGTTATGGTATCTCTCATCCCGCTCTCCTCTATTTTTCCCCCGACTCAACCTTTCTGCCCCTCTATTTCCTCTTCTTCCCTCCTCTTCTCCTCCTCTCATTCTGCCAGCTCCCTCTCCCCTACCCTCATGCTCCCAATTAGCTCAGGAGATCCTACCCCTTCCCATTCTCAGGGGTCCATGCATTTTTCCCTTAGAGTCCTTCTTGTTTCCTAGTTCCTTTGGTGATGAGGATTGTAGGCTGGTAATCCTTTGCTTTATGTCTCAAATTCATATGAGTGCGTACACACCATGTTTGTCTTTTTGTGACTGGGTTACCTTACTCAGGATGGTTTCTTCTAGTTCCATCCATTTGTCTGCGAATTTCAAGATTCCATTGCTTTTTTTCTGCTGAGTAGTATTCCATTATGTAAATGTACCACATTTTCTCAATCCATTCTTCAGTTGAGGAGTATCTAGGTTGCTTCCAGGTTCTGGCTACTACAAACAACAACATAGTTGAACATATGTTCTTGTTGTATGAATGTGCATTCTTTGGGTATTTGCCCAAGAGAAGAATTGCTGGATCTTGAGGTAGACTGATTCCCATTTTCCCGAGAAACCACCATACTGATTTCCAAAGTGGCTGTACAAGTTTGCACTCCCACCAGCAATGGAGGAGTGTTCCTTTTTCCACATCCTCTCCAGCATAGACTGTCATTGGTGTTTTTGATTTTAGACATTCTGACAGGAGTAAGATGGTATCTCAGAGTTGTTTTGAGTTGCATTTCTCTGATGGCCAAGGATTTTGAGTACTTTCTTAAGTGTCTTTCAGCCATTTTATCTCTGTTGAGAATTCTTTTAGATTTCTCTGTTGAGAATTCTCTATTTAGTTCTGCACCCCACTTTTTAATTTCATTGATTGGTATTTTGGTGGCTAGCTTCTTGAGTTCAGTGTATATTTTGGAAATCAGCCCTCTGTCAGATATGGGGTTGGTGAAGATCTTTTCCCATTCTTTGGGCTCTTGATTTTGTCTTGCTGACTGTGTCCTTTGCCTTACAGAAGCTTCTTAGTTTCAGGAGGTCCCATTTATTAATTGTAGGTCTCAATGTCTGTGTTGCTGGTGTAACGTTCAGGAAGTGGTTTCCTGTACCAATTTGTTCAAGGGTATCTCCCACTTTCTCTTCTAGAAGGTTCAGTATGGGTGGGTTTATGTTGAGGTCTTTGATCCATTTGGACTGAAGTTTTTGTTCATGGTGACAGATATGGATCTATCTGCAATCATCTGCATGTCGTAATCCAGTTATACCAGCACCATTTGTTGAAGATGCTTTTTTCCATTGTATAGATTTAGCATCTTTGTCAAAGATCAGGTGTTTGTAGGAGTGTGATCAAAAATTAGGTATTCGTAGGTGTGTGGGTTAATATCAAGGTTTTCAATTCGATTCCATTGGTCTGTGTGTCTACTTTTGTGCCAACATCAAGCTATGTTCAGAACTATGGCTCTGTAATAGAGCTTAAAGTCAGGGATGGTGATACCTCCAGAAGTTCCTTTGTTGTACGGGTTGTTTTTGCTATCCTGGGTTTTTTGTTTTTTCCATATAAAGTCGAGTATTGTTTTTTCAATGTCTGTAAAGAACTGTGTTGGGATATTTTGATGGGGATTGCGTTGAATCTGTAGATTGCTTTTGGCAAGATTGCAATTTTTACTATGTTGATCCTACCTATACAAGAGCATGGCAGATCTGTCCATTTTCTGGTATCTTCTTTAGTTTCTTTCTTTAAAGACTCAAAGTTCTTACTGTACGGGTCTTTCACTTTTTGGTTAGCATTACCCCAACATATTTTATGTTGCTTGTGGATATTGTGAAGGGTGATGCTTCTCTGTTTTCTTTTTCATTGCATTTATTATCTGTATATAGTAGGGCTACTGATTTTTTTGAGTTAATTTTGTATCCTGCTACTTTGCTGAAGGTGTTTATCAGCTGTAGAAGATCCCTGGTAGAGTTTTTAGGGTGATTGAAACATATATACTCTTAGAAAAAAAGAAAAATACCGATATTTTTAGGAAATGAATTCATAGTAAAACTTTGGAAAATTAAAAACTTTTTTTTGCTTTGGTACATATGGGTATCGATATGTAGATAAACAAATTTGTACATTTTTATCCTTGGGTCTTTATTTTTCACAAAGAATTTATTTTAGATATTTTCATAGGTCATTGAAATACATGCTTTTGAACCATTTCATACATGTAACATTCTATTTGTTGTATTTTTGTTTTGTTTTTCATGGTCCAGGGGCTGAAATCCCTTAGGTCAATTTCCCAGAAGTAAAAATTCATCAGAAGTGGCAGATATTTAAAGGCTCATTCCCCTCTGTTGTACTGGGGATCGATCACAGGCCTTACGCATGCTAAGCAAGTGCTCTGCCACTTGTTCTGTGTTCCCTGCCCATATTTTTAAGATTTTCCATGAAATTTACTTAGTTTCTTCATAAAAGGTTCTATCAATTGAATTTTTCATTGTAAACAATATTAAGCTAAAGCATTTTTATCATTTGGATTATTGTTAGGCTCCTTACTATTACAGATACTATTTTCCAGTTTTTGTTTGCATTTTAGTATTGTTGCAAGTGTGCTAAATAAATCAACACATTTGCCAGTACAGTTGTTAAATTGTAGCTTCTAAAAGCCAGTTTGTTAGGATCTTCTTTGTAGATGAACAACTTTGGTGTAATGCAGTGTACTTATGAAGAAATAGTTCACAAGAAATAAAGCATTGTAAATAAAATTTGGAAAGAGCCATAGAAACAGGTTTGAGGCTGAGTCTGAGGCTGAGTCGGTTGAGGCACATACTGCCTTTTGCTGTTGTTTAACACTAAAATTTCACGTTAGTATTTACTCAGCTGTTACAAGAATCCTTTTAACTGTTACAAGATTACTTTTTAACAATGACTTTCCCATTTTTGTGTTTTTATGGTGTAATTCTCCCTCCACTCCTTCAGAACAGAGGAAGTTTACATTTCATTCTCCTGAAGCTTCATATGGAACAAGTTCTACCGGAATCACCAATCCAAGCATCAGGAGTCCGTACATAGATGGCTGCTCACCAATTAGAAACTGGTCTCCTGGGAGACTCAGAGGTGGTCCTCAGTACCTGTCCTCACTGATGCGGATCCCTTTCACCCTTGAGACTCAAGGTGAAGATGAAGAAGACAGTGTTCCCTCTGCAGATGTCTCTCCACCAGGCACAAATGCAGCAGTGCCCCTTCAGCAGGTGGACTGTGAGACTTCAGCATGTGGCGAGTCTTTAGTTGTCACTGCCATGTCTGTCACACAAAGTCAGTCTAGTGCCTCTGAGAAAGAGCTAGTGCTGTTGGAAGACGCTGAAAGCAAGAGGGAAAATGACACTGTGGATATGTTCGATCCTATAGACACAGTTGATGAGAGCACTTGGATAAAGGAGCCCGTGGATAATGGGAATTTACCCATGACTGATTTTGTCAGTGGGATTGCCTTCAGTATTGAAAACTCTCATATGTGCATGTCACCTCTTGCAGAAAGCAGTATTCTGCCCTGTGAAAGCAGCACTATCCAGGTAAGGCTTTTTAATATTTTATAGTCTTTGACTCTGGATGGTACAGAGTGAGAAAGGTAATAGGTTAACTGTGAGGTGTTTACAGTGTTAGAACAGTAGAAGGCTAAATGTGAGGGCTGTAGCATTTGATCTCTTAAAATTACCAAGGATGCTGAGCTTGATGGTGCACACCATTAAGCCTAGCACTTGGGAGGCAGAGACAGGAAGATTTTTGTAATTTCAAGGCCAGCCTGCTCTACAAAGCCAGTTCCAGGCCAGCTAGGACTCTGTAGTGCAAGCCTGCCTTAAATCAAAATTACCAAAAGAAACCAGGAGGATTAATTAGTCATATTTCATATTCCTATTAACTATTGTCTGCTGGAAATAGTAAATGAGCAGAGAAGAAACCAGGCTGGTGCTTCTGCAGATTGCTGTTCAGACAACCTCTCAGGAGACACCTGTCTTCCTGGGAATCTGCTGCCAGAAGAATGCGGTTTCTAGCATAGTATTTGTATTTTAAAAAATGGATAGTTTTGTTTTTCCTTAATGTGATTTCGGGAAGGAAGAAAACCTAGAGCACTTTTATCTCTAACTTTTTATATACTTGAAGCAGGAAACATTTTTGCATGTAATCATACATTTCCAGTTTTCTAAGAAGGCTACGCATCAGAGGCTAAGTTAAACTCCCTGGAGTTTATAAAGCAAGTAAAGTGCTGAGCCAGTATTGACACCAGCAGCTTTGCATCTCAAGGTCATGTCAGAACTAACGAACTCTGCTGGTTCAGTGTGCTGACAGGCTCACTCAAGTCCCACCTTCATGTTTTTCTGGTTGACTTTGGGCATGCTGATTCTGAAACAACTGAAAATGGACTGTAACCTTTCACTCAATTTTAAACCGTTTAATTGTTTAGCTTAGTTTACAAAGTAATTGATTTCATCATAGCCTCTTCATACATATTTGCTGAATTTTATGTCTACAGTACCCTGTCCTGGCCCCTGCATTCTTAGTTTTAGAAAATGTTAGTTTCTTTTAGCTTACATACTTTAGTTTCATAGTTTGCTATCTTAAGTACACCAGTCAAGTTCAGCTGTAAAGGTATCCATAACTTTGTTTTTCACTCATTTTCACTTTCCCTGTAGCATGTTTTTTGTTGAAGTATACCTTAGTGTCATCTAGAATTACCTGTTGCAATCTCTTGTCCTGAAATTGTAGCCACCAATTCATTACCTAATTTCTGCATGGGTCTTGCACTTCTTTCCATGACTGTCATACTTTGCCTCCTTGCAGTGAACTAAAATGTGGGTCTGTTTTATGTTACGATGTATCATGCTTTCTTTTAGTTGATAAGTTTGTATACATTATTTTTCTACCAGTTATCTTTCAAGCTTTCAGACACAACTGTGCTTTCTCCCAGCCTTTGACTTTGTTCATTTGCTTCTGTCCCTGGTATAGAGCTGTCTCCCCACACTCACTCTGTTCTCACAATGTGAATTTCCTTACCCCACCTGTTTTCTGTGTTCTTCTCTGGGTTACTTCTCATTTTTCCTGGAACATATTTTCTGGTGGCTTTCTAAGTAAGTGTGTGTTTTTTCAAGGAGTGTGTGCCTGGGGATGAAACAACTGTTTTAGCTTAGACATACTTACCCTTGAGAATTGAAAGGCATTACTTCGTTGACTATTTTTCAGTTGTTGGTGGTAAGAAATCTGAAACTTTTTTTTAAAGATTATTTGTATTTTATGTACATTGATATTTTGTTTGCATATGTGTGTGTGTGTGGAGGGTTTTGGATCACCTGGAACAGGAGGTACAGACGGTTGTGAGCTGCCATGTGGTTGCTGGGAATTAAACTCAGGTCCTTTTGAAGAGCAGCCAGTGCTCTTAACCGCTGAGCCATCTCTCCAGCCCGAAAGTTGACACTTTTAATGCGTAATCTTCTACATACATTGCTGCTCACCCTTCTTGCTTAGTGGGATCTTTTCCTGGTACACAGTGGTACTCTAATTTCAGAAAGCTGAACTGTCACATGGATGCGAGGCTATTATTAATCCTTACAAAAAATAGGACAGGCTCCCTGTGCACATTGCTGTATCCTATACTATTAGGTTACTTTTACCTTTGTACAGTTATGTATTAGAACTGAGTCATGAGCCAATTATTTGACAGTGATATCAGAATAAAGAGTAATTGGCAGACTCTTTGTAAGCAATCTGATATTTACACTTTTTATCAAGTATCTATTGAATGGCAACAGTACTAGGGATTTCCCTTAGGATGTACTGTTAAATTTTATTTTACTTGTTACAAGGGTTTTGCTTTAATGAAGTGTGACTCCCAGTAACCAGAAAATGAGTATATAGACATGAAAACTGGGAATATTTTTCTTGTGGTCGTGGGTAACAGTATGGCTTTATATACTGTAGATGTTTGTCAGGGGAGCAAAGAAGTACAGACTTCCCCCTGCTCCTAATTTGTAAGGAAAGGTAAAGGTCTAGACCACTGCTTCTTGTGTGTATTTGTGTGGGTGTGTGTGTGTGGTGCGGTATGTGTGTGTGGGGGGGGTGCTAAAATTATTGCAAGTAAATGGCTGTTGTAAAATTAAAAGAACTTTAACTTGACCCTCTGATCTTCATTCTCATTGCTGTATGACACTGAGTTAACCTTTCTGAACCTTTACTTCCTCACTTAGAAAGTAACAGAGATGTTGAAAGGACAAAATAAAAATGGCATCACAGTGCCACAAAGGACCAAGAATTTTTATTCAATAAATGCTTTTTACAGCACATACTTGTGGTCCAAAACTGTTTATATTTAAAAAATAAGTTTGCTTCAAAATCCATGCTATTTTGAGTATCATAATATATCTTGAACTGTCCCTCACCAAGATAACAACCCTTTGACTAATGTTCCCACAGTCTATACTACTTACACCTATTATTCACACAGCAGCCATTTCAAACTGACCACTAAGCTAACATGTTACTTGTATTTGAAGAGCTTTTTAAAAACTTAATATTGACTAAAAACACTAACATAATTCTGGCTAGTTGTATATGTAAAATGCTAGAGAATTCTTAAAATTACAAAAGTACAGTAAAATTCTTGACACCCTATTGCATGACTTTTATAAATATATGTATATAGAGGGATACTCCCTGAGCCTAGACACACGGGGATGGGCCCAGGCCCTGTCCCAAAGGATATGACAGACTCTGAAGACTCCCTACGGAAGGCCTCACCCTCCCTGGGGAGCAAAAAGGGTATGCGATAGGGAGGGTGTTAGTTGAGGGGGAGAGCAGGGGAGGAGAGAAAGGAGTGGGAACTGGAATTGATATGTAAAACAATCTTGTTTCTAATTCAAATAAAAAAATGGAGGGGAAAAAATAAACATGTATAAACTGGGTATAGTGGCACATGCTTATAATCCCAGCATTCTTGAGTCTGAGGCACAATTGTGAATTTGAATCCAAACTGGGTTAGCCAGTGTTACAGAACCAAGTAAAACTTTTACTGTGCCTAATTTATAAGCTAAATCTTATCACAGGTATTTGTAGGTAGGACAAACATAGGAGACATAGGTCTTGGTATTACCTGTAGTTTCAGGCAATACCTGGAGTGTCTTGGAAGATATCCTCCATGATAAGAGGGGATTATCTACCAATTTAAAAGTGTGCAAATCTTTTTCTCTTTTGGGATAGTCAGTATGTTTTAAAATGTAACAATTTTTCTTACATATGTACCATTATGAACTGGCTATGAGCAATATGCAGTCTACCTTTATTTTTGTAGAATTTTTGAATACTCCAAATGGTATTTAGAAACTATATGAGCAATTTTGAGATAAACTGATTTTAGTCTTTATTTTCATTTTGGACATAATCCCAGAAGAGCAGAAAAGCACTTGGTGACTTGTCTACTAATGCTAAACGAGTTACAGTTCCTTCCCATGTAATATATTAAGTATTACAGTAAGAAGAAATTTTGTGTGGAGCTTTTATGATTATGTATTAAATTTATTCATTATGATCACTATTACATTGTTCAGATGTTGTGAATTATACTATATGCTCACTTAGCCTTTATATTTCTTACAATATTTCATGTAAATTAGAAAAATGAAAGAGTTTGCAGTTTTTATGATTAGGTGTTTTATGTTTTTCATTCCTACCAGATGGACAGTGGCTATAACACGCAGACTTGTGGAAGCAATATCACTGATATTGCTGGGACAGAAAGCTACTGCAAAGAAAATGTCACACAGTCCTTTGAAGTGGAAATGAAATCTCAAGTTTGTAATACAAAGGTATGGAGAAAACAGCTTGCTAAGAATATAGACTGTATATTTACAAAATGACTGTTTTTCCACCTATCTACCCACAATTCTGTATAGTTTACCATCTTATGCTCCCATCTTGTCCTGTTATTAAGTCGATGTTTTAAAATCAGACACTCCAGAGTTCCTCACTCTCCCGTAGGAGAGAATGAGTTGGAAAGGGAGAACTAGCTCTTCTCTAAACATGGGAGGTCATACCCATAAATGGAAACAGGAAAGGCAGAAACTTTTGCCTCTAAAATTGATTTTTCTCTTTGAAACATTTTAAACAGCTCACACCTAAATATAAGAATAATTACTACTAGAGAGGAAAGTAGTACAACTGATTACATATCAAGTTCAAAGCCTGTAGAAGATTTTGTGTATGTGTCGTCATATAAAATTATGTCTCAGTATTATCACTGTTGGATGTTTATCATGCACTCCTTTCTGGAAGGATTTCTTAAAATTCAATAGTCATTAAAGATTCTCATTATTCTAAGGAAAATAAATGTATATATTTCTGATACATCAAATATTTGTACTAATATAGTATACTTCTGATGTAAGCATTTTATGAACCTTGATATGATGGTTACAACTACACATTTTTCTTTGAAACTCATCATCTTAGGAACTAGACAGGACAGCCTCTTACTAGTTTACTATTAGACAGTATAAACATTAACTGCAACAAAACTGCTCTCCAAAAACTCTTATCTTTACTAGCTTTTTCAAACCAGGAAATCAACATTTAGATTTAAAAACAGTTCACATAGTATTGTGCTTTGAATATTCCTAAACTGAAAAGAAGGTATTTTCTTCTTCCTCACAGCAAGACCACGCAGTGCAGAGGTGCTGGGTGAAGACCGCAAGTGCATCAAAGTGCAGCAGCCCGTAGTCTCTAGACCAGAGACCACCGCTCAGTAGCTCCTGGTGCTTCCTACACATCATCTACCGCGGTGGTGACGGGGTCACTGCGTCCTTACACCTAGCTCCCTCCATAATGTGAAGAGTCAGTCCGCAACGGAGATTAGTGACAGGAGCAGGAGCTCCACATTACGAAGTCACAAGCTTCTTTTTTTTAACCAATAAATATTTTTGTATTTGCTTTGAGTGGTTTGTTTAACAAAAAATTATGGCAGCTGATGGTTTTCTCCTGTCCTACAGGGTCACTAAACCACTTGTTAAGACTTGGAATGATAGTCCTGAATTTAGCAAATCTTTGAACATGATAAAAATGTTAAAATTGAATGCACTATATATTTTTACATGAAAACTGTGTGAAAGAAATCTTCAAATACAAAACTTACTGAAGAGATAAAAAGGCAATAAAATAGACTCCCAAAAATTTCATTTCTGTATGGAAATGACTTAGTGTTTGGTATAACCACTCTAGTTAGTACTCTAGTGAGTGTAAATGTGCTACTGCCTGGGTGCCATCCTGTCCATTGCCATCTGTGGGGTGGGTATGTGATACCACAGTAGTAGTACCGTCATTCATTCCTAGGGTGCCCCGCAGAGCTCAGCCTTGGCTAGGGAGATGAACAGACATGGGAGAATCAGAATCATCAGGAACAGTGGAATTAATTCCTTTTGGGCTTAGAACCATGAAGAAACAACTGAGAAAATAGCTAAATACATTTAAAAAAAAATCTGTAGAGATGGATATAATGTGTTTGGAAATATCTAAGACTATTTTTGTACTTATTTTGTAAAAACTGATAAAATGATTCATCATTAGTTCTGGAAAATAAAGATGTAATTATTATTATGTCATTTTCATCCTTGTTCTGTATGGTCTTCCATTCTTTTTTTTTTTTTGGTTTTTTTTTTGTTTGTTTGTTTTTTTCTTGTTTGTTTGCTTTTTGTTTTGAGGCAGGGTTTCTTTGTCTGTGACTTTGGAGGCTGTCCTGGAACTAGCTCTTGTAGACCACACTGGTCTCGAACTCACACTGCCTCTGCCTCCAGAGTGCTGGGACTAAAGGTGTGCACCACCACCCAGTGATCCCCTTTCTTATGCTTACTGCTTACACACACACACACACACACACACACACACACACACACACACGTATAACATGCACACACACACACACCAACCCCCTCCAACACTAAGCAATGTTGTGAAGTTGACTGTCCAATATAATGTGTTAAGATAGCTATTATCTGAGTCTCAAGATGAGTAGCCTCCCTGGCTACCTCCCAGTTTTTAAATCATCATTAACTAAGAGAACTCGTTTCACTACTTGATCTGGGCTTCATCTGTTAAATGGGAGTAGAGTCCTGAAGGGGCTCCTTCAGTTTGAAACTGTTTCACAATGTAGCCTAGGCTGGCACTGAGCTTTCAGTCTCTAGAATGTAAGGATCAAAGGTGTACTGTTTTTGAGTTTCTTCTGCAATCCATTCCTCCTCACTATCCCAGGAGAAGTTCTAGGACCTTCACCATGGATTAAAGAAAAAGATGCTAATGTCCCTCATTAAATGACAATCTTTGCATGTAAGGTATGTACACCTTTTCATACACTTCAAATTACTTATATCTACTACAATGTAAACACAAAGAAACCAGTTAAATTATCTGGAGGAATGCTGACCAATAAGAAAATGTATAAACACATTTAGCACATTTAGCACAGATGTATTTTTCCCACAAGTACTTTCACCCTTTCAATCTGGAGATGCAAAGCCTGGGCACTGGGAGGCTGACCATGTTCTCTGTTGACACAGAATAGAAGCTTGTTTCCTTGGAAATTTTTTTTGGAGAACATAACCATATCTGTTTACGTATTGTTTGGCTGCTTATAAAGTACAATTACAGCAGAGTTGTGCTATAGTTCAGCCATATGAAATGCTGTGGCCTTTTACAAACAAGACTTGCTGTGTCCTGCTCTACTATCAGTCACTGATCCATTTTATTTGGACCAAACACTCTTTAAGCTTGTCTTCCTTCAGCTCAATCAAGTTCTGCTTTAACATATAGATATTTTCCACTGTAATAGGAAATTGGAAAAATCGACAATATTGAATTCCCATGTGTTTGTAAAGCCTATAGCTATAACCACATCATATACATGGGGACTTGTCAGCCGGTGTCTACCATGCAGAAGTATTTTGACTGCAAATTGACTAAACAAAGTTAAATGTTGATTTTCCTAATGCAATCTTAACCTGAAATTTGCAAGACAAGTAGTCAATATGGTACCACCAAATAAGATTCCATTTGTTCCTCTAATATGTCTTTAATACACTCCCTCCTCCTCTCCTATATAATTGGATATAACTAAAATTCAAAAGTTATCTGTGTTTTGTAAAGAAAGCAGACATTTCCACTTCCATTCTTTCTGACAGAAACATTGTCAACAGACTAAGGATAATGATAATGATGACTAAATTTACCATCTGTTGATAACAAAACTCCCAATGTTCCCAATCAGGTCAAGACACCTGAGATTTTTTTTTTTTTCTCATAATCCCTAAACATTCACAGATGTCTGAGGACCACTAGTAAAGTACAGGAGGCTTTTCAAAATACATGTGAGCAGTGTTGTCAGTAGGCAAATGAATGGCAGAATGATCAAATGACAAACACTGATGGTTCAAGATGTAGAAAGGCTTGTTCTTTGCTTCTAAAAGGTTAATTTTCCTCCGAAATTGGCAAGTTCTTTCCTCTGTTAAATAAAGTACTTATATAAAAATTAATCTGCTCTTCAATGAGCAGATTGTACTCCATTTAAATGATCATCACAGATCCCTGAAGTTGCTATTCTGTCACCATTGAAGTGATGGATATTCAAATGAATTTTTCTGCATAATTTTTGTTGTTGCAGAAGCACAGTGTATAAGATAGATGCAGGCAGCAGCTCAATAAAAATGCAAATTTCTTAAAATTATTGAAATGTACTTAAAAGTAACTATCATGCACACGAGCTTGTAAGTATGCTTTCAATTTTGTTGTTGTCGTCAAAGGTAATCAGTCTTTGTAGTTTCCTGTTGCATGTAGCTACTTGTCAAGTTTTCTCTTCTTCCTCCCTGACCCATTGAGATCCATGTCTGATACTTCAGGAGGAATATTTATTCCGGGTATCTACAACAGTGTATATGGGAAAAACAAAGTGATTAGAAGCATCAGAAGAAATTTTTACCTCACCTTCCTCCTTTACCACTACCACTTTAAACAGATTTTCCTTATATAAGGGGCTGGAGACAGAAGGATGCACCATACACAATTATGCACAGTAAGTAACCGTGGTTGGGCAGAAGTAAGCCAGTGGTCTCCGTGAGAGGCTTTTCAGAGGTATGGAGGAGCACACCTGCAATCTCAGCACTTGGGAAGATGACTGCAAATTCAAGGTTAGCCTTGTCTACATAGCAAGAAAACTGAGAAGCTTCAACTTGGGCCATGTGTTTGCAATGTAGCAACTCTTCCTTGTGTCCAATTTACCCTAGTGGATTTATGTTGCAGCAGACAGCAAGCATCAAAAGCCAAAAGGTTAAGTGTAGGTAAAGTTTTATATTATAAAACTAAAGGATAAGCAAGAGAACTGAATGGTCTTAGATTTTGGCATTAAGGACCTCTAGAATCTCTGATGCCTGGAATACAATGCCAATGCTTGGATACCTAAGATCTTAACAACTAGATGTTAGTGTTCCCACACCATTAAGTTTGGCCTTACCTGTGGTTCTACAAGGGCCATGCGGATTTTCTGATGTTGAAGGTTTGATGAATCTAATGTGATTTTCACTTTAACCTTGTCAAACACATGGAATACTGTGCCTTCTATTCTGAGTGAAGGTATCTTGAAAAACAAAAACACATTTATCAACATTATTTCCTAAACTTGAATCTCAATTCTACTTCTAGTTTATCTTCTATAGTAATTTAAAAGTTTAAGTTCAGGAGGATATGAAACTGGGAGGAAGATATAATGGGTTCTGTAGGTAGCTGGAGAAGTGAGGGGTAGACAGGACCAAGATATATTTTACTCATGTATGGAATTTTCAAAGCATAAAACATTACAATATTAGTAAGTATCTGTGTAATGAATACAAAAACCCACATTAACCTAATAGTCTCAAATATAATCTATTTATGTGCACACTTCATGTCACTAAGGTAGTCCTGATATATGTCATCCATCTTAGGGAATTAGCTGTTTGTAATGAAGGAACACACCATAGCATTTAAATATCCTCTTAAGAAAAGTTTAGGTGATAAATATGGATTTTCTGGCATGCATTTTAAGATTTATCATATAAGTATGCTGTAGAATAATCCTCTGTACACTGTAAATTATGCTGCAATTAGTATAATATAGAATCTGATTGGCCAATAGCTGGACAGGATAAGGTTAGATGGAAAAACCAGACTAAGGACACTGGGAAGAAGGGTGGAGTTGGAGGAGTCACAAGCCAGATGCAGAAGAAACAGGACCTGTGGAGAGTAAGGTAACAAGCCATGAGCCATGTGGCAGAACTTAGATTACAAATATGGGTTATTTAAGTTGTAAGCTGTCAGCCAAGCAATTAAAAATTAATAAAAGTATCAGAGTAGTTATCAGGGAGCGGCTGCCAAGACACAGAGAAACTCCACCTACATAAATACAGAAAAGTTTTAACAATTTATAGCTCTGGTTTGCCAACTGTCAGAGAAAATATACCTCTCTTCCCCAAGTAAACAAGGCTCAGCAATACTATACCTCATCATCATAAGTAAGCTGTGGCTTTGGTTTATCTTTTTCTTCAAAAAAAACTGTACCTTCTAAGCCATACTTTGGAATTAACACCACAATTGCATTCTTTCTTACAAAGAGAATATAGGCTTCTTCACTTACTATTCCTTTGCTTTTGAAAAACAACTGTAAAAGACATACAATCTTGTTAGTAGTATTATTTCAAAGTTTACAAAAATAATTTTGAAAATACCAAATGAACAAAATCTCCCACTCTTAGCACTACAGACAAAGGCAAATACCTGGGTATGAAAAGCTACTGATGCGCGCTGAGCATACTGCGCCATTTTATGCCGGAAATTAAGGTTTTTACATATATCTGAAAGCTTGTGTTTATCTGTCAACTCTGGATAAGTACTATCAGCCCCAATAGCCACAGCCAACAGCCGATGGACAATTATGTCTGCATATCTACATACAGAAGGTAAAATAAGAACAATAGCAAGTTAGTTTTAAATTTTTAAATTAAGAGTTAGCATTTTCTATCTCCTTTACTTCTGTACAAAAAAAGCAATACCTTCTGATAGGAGAAGTGAAATGTGTGTATATTGGGGAGGCTAAGCCATAGTGGTGAAAGTCATTATCCATCCCAGAACAGAAGTAGACAGCTTGCATCATACAGCGAGTGGCCAATATTCTTAAAAGAGTGTTCAGGTATGGGAAATCAGGGCATTCAGCCTGGTCCAAAGAGTCAGCCAAAGACTTGGCTGTATCCGTCTTAATTTCCAAATTCTATCAATAAAAGGAAGAGAAGCACCAAATGAAACATTTCAAAATGAGTAGTACTGTCCTTCCTCCCTCTCGTTCCCCTTCTCCCCCTAGATGGCCTGGAACCCTCAGAGACTGGCATACCTCTACCTCCCAAAAAATGGATTACAGCCATGCACTAGCATGCCCAGCCAGAATCACAATCCTCTCTTTAAAATATAAATAACCAAATAAACACAGTGTTTGTGTTCAGATAGTAAGAGTTCATACATTTTATCTGTTAGCTAGCAGCACTACAAATAACTTTAAATAATGGTAGTTTTGTGCAGTACTAAAGCTTGAAAATTCCTGAATGCATTTCAAAGTCCTAAAGAATCCAGAATCCTGAAGTTCTGAGGGAGAGAAGGACAGTGATGGCATTGCTTGCTGATCTCTGAGGGGGTAAGGAAAATAAAGAAGATATGGACAATTTTCTGTATGTCTTGCTCCTCGCAGATTCGTTCCTTCCACCCAAAGCAGACATAAAGGCCAGTAGCAAGCTAGTCAATTCAAGTTCAGTAAGAACCATGCTCTGGTCCATCAAACTCACTGCTGAATTCTACTTAGCAAGACAAACACTGAATCCTCCTTCCTCTACTATGTCCTGGTAAGAAATAAGACAGCCTCAGACAACCCCCCAATATGCAGTTATCCTTGGGGATGGGAGGCTGGAGCTACTCTGATGAATAAAGACAGTGTAAGCGAACTATAAAATCAGAAACTCAGCCGCGAGTTGGGGCGCACGCCTTTAATCCCAGCACTCGGGAGGCAGAGGCAGG